AAGAAATCAAGGCCGATTGAAAGAAACATGGATATGAACTGTAGAAAGAGAGCGTAATGTGATGTGTTTAACATCCTGGGCTGCAGCTCTGCGTCTGTTGCAAAGAAAAGGGATCAATGGAGGCCCAATCCTCCACTTGGGGAAAGGAATTGATTAGAAGAATAAATATTTTCAATTGGGAATGTGAGCCACAACAGCCAATTTTTCATATTTCCTTTTGGAATTGATCACTGGCATTACTTATTTAGTTTGACTAGGCTTTTAGACCAATGGGTGTTCTAAACAGATCTAGAGTGTAGATAACTTTGAAATTTGAAGATCATTTAATATAAATTAATTTTTGTAGGTTTCCTCCTTGACCATTGTCATTACTTTAAGCTCTCTACTACCTTCAGCAGCACTCAGTTTCCAAGCTAATGATTGCTATATTTTTTATTACGGTAACCAAAGAAAATGACTACTTCCTCTATCTGTTTTGCAGCAAGCAGTAGTTTATTGTCATTTTATACAATATGTACGGTAATAATGTTTTGAAATCTTATCTTCAGATAAAGATAAAGCTTCCAGACACGGAGTACTCTGATGTGAATTTAGATGTGTCCGATACCTTTCTTGATTGCAGAACTCCCAAGTAGTAAGTTAATGTAGCATATTGCAATTAATGCAGCTACAGCTGTATGAGCTATTACTGATAATGTTCAATGATTGTCTTGAAATGTTTTTTTTTTGCTGTAATTTTCTAGTTGTTTTAGCCAAATATAATATTTTTTTCCTTTGGCAAACTTCTTTAGATGCACTGATTTCATTTTTGAAAGAAATTCTACCATGACATGTGGTTTTCAAATAGGCTCAAGTGAAATTCCTTTAGATGACAACTCTTTCCCCTTAAAGCGTAGTTGCTTTACATCTGTAAATCCATTAAATTCACCCCCCATTGATAGGTACAAAATAGAGCAACATTGTAACTAGTTTTGACTGATCAAACCCTGCTCCACAGGCTTGAGGCTGCGTGTTGAAAAATGTGAGTCCAGAAAGAATTTCTAGCTTTCTAGGTAAATTTTCAATCAAGAGAGACTTCACAAGATTCTCAGGCTCTTCCACTGCAAACCCAAACTCCTTTTGTTGTAAACTGACAACCCCACCCCAATACAACCTTTCAGTAATTCCAACCTAAATGGTGCAGAAAGTACTTGCAATGATGATTTTTTAGATGTCTCAGGTATGTGATCAATTCTCCTTCTTGCTATTTCAGCAAACTTGGATTATTTCTCCCCCATCCAGTGGACAGTAAAAATGGCAAGGCCCAGTGGGACAAATCCAAAGGACTCTTAACTGTCACAGTGCGACTTGTGCGGGAATATGACTTTCTGACACAGTAATAAAACACATTAAAAGATAATGCAGTCTACAGGATTTGTTGCAAGATCTCACTTAAGTGTGGAAGAGGAAAGAAAATGGACAAAGAGAGTTTTGTTCATAAACTTGGAATTTGGAGAAACAAAAATTCTCAAGAATCACGAGCTATTTCCTAATGGTGCTTTTAAATTATAATTGCGACACAAGTACAAAGTACCACGTTGTCTCAAGATCGTTCGAGAAATTTATACGTACACAACATGCCTTTATGCAGAAGAGATGAAAGCTCGGTCACCTCAGCTGAAGACATTACCATTGAGAAACCTTGGAAAGCACAGTATTAAACATTGTTGTATTTATTTAATAGTCAATCTTTTACATACAAAATGATAATACAATGGAAACTCATCTTACCACACCTCTCTCTTTTCTTTTATTTTAAGACTGAGATTGCAGTCTCTTGTTGTTGTAGAACAATGGCATTGTTAATAAATTTTGCTGAAAGGAGTACATCATGGAAGGTACACAGAGAATCTTACGCGGGGTGCTGATTTTCCGGCAGGTCTGGGGTCTAACATTTTCCAATTTTGTTTCTTTTTTTTTTGGTTTTATAAGCCAGTATTAGCTGGAAAAAGAACAAAAAGAGAAGGGGTTGGGAGGAACTGGGATGTGTTACATGTTATGAAACAGTCACATAACAGGTTATGCCAATTCAGGTATGGATGTGCACGTCCATTCTGCATGTGTGCAGATTGTTCAGATGTTCCCAACTAGTTAAAAACAAAACTGAAACTTGCCTGCTTTCATTTGTCTTACGGGTAAAGGTAACGTCCATCTTACCCCAATGCAATGAAAAAGCGACAATTTATGCAGTTCTGCGAATCACAAAATACTATACAGACAACTGCAACAGTACAGCTTGTATTTATTTCCATTATTCTGTTTTATGACCTTTCAGCTGCCAAACAA